TTGAGATTTCATTTTGATTCACATATTAATGGAACGACTTTGGGGTAAAGCAAAATTGAAATGAATTTAATAGAATTTAAAAAAATTTTTGTTTTTGTTAAAACATTTTTTTTTTTTTTTTTTTTTTTCAATTTGAGGCATCATAAAAAGAAGCACAAAGATAAGAAAAAATCTTCAACGTCTTTGCAACTTGACGTGGAAGAAGATCCAAGAGCATTTTTTTTTATTGGATTGCATAAAAATTTAGGGGATCCCATTGAGCAACTCGGTGAGAGACTTATTAAATAGTTTTTTTAATGGCGAGTTTCATTTTTAGAAGAAAAAGAAATCTGTCTTACCTGTTTTCGAGTTTAAGATTCAGTTTCACTACATCTTTTAGAGTGTGGTCGTGATGACAGCTCGAATAGTCAACAAATACCTGAAAAACAAAAAAAAATTGCTTAATTTTAACAATGACCATAGAAATTTATATAATTTTTTATTTTAAGGGTTGGAAATCGAACCAGATGAGGATGAAAATGAAACTGTCACGGATTTTAGAACAAGGTTTGGATCGGAGCTTTTACTGGAAGCAGGTGTCAACGTGACAGCACTGGAAGAATTTGATCTGAGATGTGGAGGACTAGTACTGGCTACAAATTTAACCCTTGTTAGACTCAAAGACCTAGCAGCAGATTGTATGCTGCAAAAATGTAATTTTATGTGAGTGAATCACCATAAAAATATTTTTATCAAGCAAAAAATTATCAAGTTACAAATACAAAAAAAAAAACTCTTAAATTTTAGTGAAGGTGGTCCAGAAGTTTGCCCTCCAGATTACAAAGAATCTGACGATAAAACATTTTGGATATACTTCTTATTAAGGTTTATTGGAACTACGATGCTGAGTGGAAGTGTGACAGTTATGGATCCGATCGCTTTGGTATTGATTCAACAATATGGAGGAGAATTTGGTAGAGAAAGACTTTTTTCAAGTATTGGAATGGCATTATTTTCACCCCTAACTGGAATTCTTATTGACTATTATAGCAAAAATTTAGGTGAATCAAAATTCATATAAAGATAATAATAATAATGATTTTATTAACTGAAATTCTAAAAATTTTTTTAGGGTACACCGACTACAGTGCTGCATTTTATACATATGACATACTCCTCATAATATCAATACTGACGATATGCTTAATGCCACCTGCTCCCCGTCTTCCAGCGGATAATATTCTCAAAGATACATTAGCCATAATAAAAATGCCTCACGTTGTTCTTTTTATAATATTTTTATTTCTCTTGGGAAATTTTTGGGGTTTTATCGAAAGTTATGTATTTTTATATTTAAAAGAATTGGGTGCAAGTAATTATCTATTAGGTAATAAATTAAAATTTTAATTATAAAAACCTGTAAATAAGTTACAAAAAGGGATTGAGGCGAAACTTTTTTTTTTTTTTTATTAGGGATTACCATTACGGTAGGAACCATAAGTTCGATGCCATTTTTATACGGAGCCGAAAGAATAACGAAAAAATTAGGACATATAAACATTATTGTATCGGCATTTTTTTTACATGCGATTAGACTAATGGGTTATTCGTTCATTGAGTGAGTTTTCCAAAAAAAAAATTTTTTCGCTCGAAATTAATAGAGTAATTAAAATTCATTTGAAATAAATTTTTTCCAGGGAGGCTTGGTGGTGTTTTCCATTTGAAGCAATGGAAGCTTTGGCTGTTCATTTAATGTGGATTGCAGCTGCAACCTATTGCGCCCTACTAGCACCTAAAACATTACTTGCTACTCTTATTGGAGTACTTGGAATGGCTCATTTTAGTTTGGGTATGAATAAATTAATATCTATTGGTAAAAGTTTTTCGGTTTCAATAATAAATGGGGTTTTTAGGAAGAGGAAGTGGAAGTTTTGTCGGTGGTATTCTTATCAGTACGGTAGGAACTCGAAAATCATTCAGAATAATGGGTTTTACTGCTGTTGGAGGAGGGATATCATATTTTCTACTTCATTATTTATGGTTGAAAAATTTAAAAGTTGTAAAAGAATTAGAAGCTCTGTACAAAGCGGGTAAAAATTATTTTTTATTACCCGAGTTAATCACATTCATCATTTTCAACTGAAATTTTATTTTATGATTCAGAAATGGAGGAGAAAACGAGACAGTTGAAAAGAAAAAAAGGACCGTTGATGAAAGACGTCGCCATATCAGCAGAAAGATTAAGTTTGATGATAGAATTTAATAATCGGGGATCTCTCAGATCGTTCGAAAGAAGTATTAATTATTTAAGTAGAGGAAGCGCATCAAAAGTGGACATGTTAAAATCTGTCCAAGATGTTGACAATGGAAGATTTTCAAATTTGTCAGTACAGTTAAAAAATTCGGCTCCTAATTTAAAGCGGAGGGAGAGTATCGGTAAAGAAACGGATACGGAAAAGAAAAGGGTAAATGGGAAGTTAGAAGATTTTTTTTTTCTTCTCTTGTTTACCATACTAATTTCAATAATAATTTTTTTTTTACGTCAAGGTATTTAAAGGTTCGGAACCGAACGTCATCGCAAGTTCCGTAAAAAAAAATTTGGATGTAGATGGTACTCTATACAGTTCAGATTCAATATTAGAAGAAGAAGAAATCCTATTGAAAGAAGAAACGATTAATTGTAAATTCCTATCGGAAAAAGAAGAAAAACTTGTTTTGTAAAAAGTTTTTTCGTCGAATCGTATTTAAATTAGATTAATGAAAGCTGAGAAAGAAATAAAAAAAAAAAAAAAAAAAAAAAATTTTTTTTTTAATTTGAGATGTGAAACCAACAACAGACTTGAATAGACTAAGCTAAGAAATTGGCGGCTATCACATTTCTTTACGCTACCTTATAAGGTCTCATTGGCATACACCCAAAGTCCTCCTTTATATTTATGACGTCATTAAGCAGAAAAATCCTACTTGTGCTTTTTTTTTTTTTCTCTTTTCTCCCCATGTTTATCTTTTTTTGATAAGAAAATGTCTGTGTCAAATTTTTTTTTTTTTTATAACTTTCTTACAAAATATGTACTCCTTTATATAAAAATATATTTATGTATAACTCTTATAATAAATAGGATTGCTAAATATAAATAAACAAAATGCTGTTTTTTTTTTTTTTTAAAGTGACCTTTTCCTGCATAATTTACGAGCAACCATATTTTAAAAGATATTCATTCATTGATGCAATATTGAAATATTCAAATGATGATTTTAGGGTACCAAACAACGATCAAAACAATATAGTAATTAAATAATATAATATGGAATTAGTTGTGGTTTAGTTATCAAAAAGGGCTTCCATGATTTTTACATGTCAAGTTATGCAAACCGTTATGCAAAAAATTTTGATACAAAAATAAAAAATGATGATTTATTATTGTTCCTATGGTGTTACATTTCTTTCACATAATTTATAATCGAAATTTTTCTTTACGTAACCGGTCAAGTAAATAAAAACCCCCTCGTCCATTTAACAACGGTATAGAATTTACCGAGGAGGACTTCTTAGCTCCTAAAGTTTTATTTTGGTAATGTAATAACGCATGCGTATTTAGGGAAACCCAAAAGTGAATCTTTGGACGTCAGCTAGTCCACATTCCTCCACGGCAGAGACTTCAAACAAATTCTCTCCCGTTTGAACTTGTTTTTTTTTTTTTTTAAAAAAAAAGTGTAAGTACTTTTATTTATTTAATAATTAATATAAATAAATTGTAAATTTTATAAGACAAAAAAAAAAAAAATTGTTTAATTTTTAAATTTATTCACGCGCGTTTTTTTTATTTTTTTTTACATACGATTGTTTTAAACGTACATATAACTTATTTTTTTTAAAAATATTATTGTTTTGTGTTTTTGATAATTAAATAATTTGCAGTGAAGTTGTAAAAGTGATTTTAGTGGTAATTGATTAAGAATAAATTTAATAGAATGGTTTAAATGAGAGATGTTATAAATCTGTATATAGCCAAGTCCTAAATTTTTCTCACGATATTTAAATCATTGTAACTTTCTATCTTTTTTTTTTTTTTTATCGAAGAATACAGTAATTTATATATAAATAATAATAATATCAAAAATAAACATACCGACTTTTCCTGGTGTAATTAAATGAAATTTAAGAAGAGATTGTAAATTTCTAAGTTTAGACATACTTTGAGATTTCACCGACATTTTGTGCGCATGCGTAGAAGTTACTCCAACCACCAAAAATTCCCTGACGAAAAAATTAAAAAAAGATAAAAATAAATATTCTGTTAAAAATTATATTTAAAAAAAAAAAAAAACTGGAATATTTTTTTCAAATTTTTATTGATATTTATAGAAATTTAAATTATCATCCTTAAAATTAATAATAAAAAGTGAAAAAATTTTTGATTAAGGGAAATTTTTGATTTAGAGTAGGCGGTGACCGATTTTTTTTTTCCCTCCATTTGTTCCTTTTTTTTTTTTTATATATTAGTTTTAATCCGTTATACTGCAAAATTGAGATTTTTATTTATCTAAAGTCGAAAAATAATTTTTTTTAAGTTTTCAATTGTTACAAATGTATTTTACTTTTCAAAAATGAAATATTTTATTTGAAAAAAAAAAAAAAAAACTAAAATAACGATATAATTTTCATTTTAGATCTTTAAATTTCCGTAAAAATGTCGGACGAAGAAGAAGTTTACTCGTAAGCAAATTTTTTTTTACTTTTAGAATTTCAAAAATTTTAAATTTAAAAATTATATTTTTAAATGAGTAAAATTAATTTTGATTTTTTTCTTTCTTTCATTTCAGCGAGGAGGAAGAAGAGTAAGTTTTGTATTCAATTCAATTTTTTTTTAAAGAATTTCAAAATTCATTGGATATATTTCTTAAGGCTATATTATTCCTAACTGAAAAGTAAAAATTTATCTAAAGAATAAAAGAGATTAAGTGCTAATTTTCAGTATTACAACACATTTAAAATCATTATTAGATTATTGTATAAAACAATTGAAAGTCCATAATATAAGTAGGCAAAAAAATTTTTTTTTTATATATGATGCTTGGACTTAAAGAATAAAACAGGAAGTTTATATAAAGTCTTACTACTACCTATTTAAACTATTTTAAATAAAATATTGTCTGTCAATTAAACAGTTCTAACAGTTTTTGTTTTTTTTTTTTTCATTTTTTTTTTTTTTTTTTTCAATTCGATTCGGTTGTTTGTGCTTGGAAAAATGATTGAAAAAACAGGGAACCAACACCATCCGTCAAAAAAACAGAGTAAGTTTCTTTTTATATATATTATTTTTTATAAAATTATTAATAATTATTCATTTAAATAAACAAGAATAAAAATTACCATGAGTTACCACACCATAGGTGTGATATGAATTGTGGGTGTTACGATTGCAAAAAAAAATAAATAAAAAGTAAAAATTATTATAAAAATGTATGGTAGAAGCTTTTTTTAGTTAGTTAGTTTTGATTAATTAACAATTTATATTATTATTATTATTATTTAAGTAGTAGTAGGTGATACATCACCTGTAATTTTAAAATGATTTAGAACAATTGCTTTAATTGTTGTTATTGTTGTTGTTGCCTGCTTTTTTTTTCTCTCTTACTAGTATTTAAAAAAAAAAAATTAGTTTTATGGTATTTATATAAAATTAAATATCATTTTTTCTTACCTCTATGTAGTTTTCCTCTTCCTTATATTATTAGCCTTTATACATAAATTTTTTTTTTTTTTTTTTCTAACTAAAAACTATTTTCTTTATTTTCTTGTAGGAGTAGACCATCCTTGAGGTAATTATTTAAATAATTGATATGTTTTCTTCACCGTTTGTATTTTTTTCTGCAAAAAAAAAAAAAAACAAAAATAATTAAATTATATAATATTAAGAAAAAACAACACTTACAAACAAATTACTAACTTTTGAATTAAAGATTTTTGTCTGTAGTTTTTTTTTTTTTTTTTTAACTTGATATGATGATATTGATGATGTTCTACGTGTTTTTGTTTTAACTCCGACATATTTGCTGTACAAAGAAAAAAAAAAAAAAAAAAAAAATTTTTTTAGGTCTAATTTAAATTTAAAATAATTATAATAAAATGCTCTGCTTAAACGATAATCTCATAATTAATTTAATTATATATATATAATGAACATTAATAGGTTAATAATATTAATTGTTATGAATAATTTGCACAATTAAAAAAATAATGTTTAAAATAAAATTATTATTTTTTTATTAATTAAATTATTATTATTATTTTTATTTTATTTTAATAGAAGCGAAAGCGATGGAGATCCGGAATTCATCAAGGTAATAAAAAAAAATTATTAACTAATAATTATTTAATTAATTAATTAATTGAAATATTATTAAAAATTTTTTTATTTTAGAAACAAGAACAGAAAAACAAGGAACTTGATGATCAGTTAAAGGAATACATTTCGGAATGGAGAAAACAACGATCCAAAGAAGAAGAAGAATTAAAAAGATTAAAAGAAAAACAAGCTAAAAGAAAGGTGAAGAAAATTATATAGAAAAATGGAAAATGATAACAAATGAATGTGAATTTGTAATCGAATTTTATTGGTTTTCAGGTCATGAGAGCCGAAGAAGAAAAGAGATTGGCCGAAAGGAAAAAGCAAGAAGAGGAAAACAGGATAAGAGAAGCAGAAGAAAGGAAACAGCGAGATATTGAAGAAAAACGACGTCGTTTGGAGGAAGCTGAAAAGAAAAGACAAGCCATGATGCAAGCCATGCAAGCTTCCCATAAATCAAAGGGAGGACCCAATTTCACCGTCAACAAAAAGGGTGATAATGCTGTAAGATATAATATATCATTAATTTTTATTATTATTATTATTTGTTCGGAAAAACTTTAAGAAAGAAAAAAAAAAAACGTGACCGTAAAATATTTTTTTTTTTTTGATTTCAGTTCAATATGTCTGCGGCTCAATTGGAAAAAACAAAAACGAAAGAACAATTAGAAGAAGAAAAGAAAATTTCTTTATCTATTCGTATCAAACCTTTGAACATCGACAATTTGAGCCTTGATAAATTAAAAGAAAAAGCCAAAGAATTGTGGGAATGTATAGTCAAATTAGAGACGGAAAAATACGATTTGGAAGAAAGGCAAAAACGTCAAGAATACGATGTAAGATTAATTATTAAATAGAATAAGTCAACAAAATAACCTTTCTAATGAGAATCTCTCATCTAATCTCTCTCTCTCTCTCTCTCTTTTAGCTTAAAGAATTGAAAGAGCGACAAAAACAACAGCTCAGACACAAAGCCCTTAAAAGGGGTTTGGATCCTGAAGCACTCACAGGAAAATACCCTGTAGGTATCAAGCTACCATCAATTACATATAAATAATCACCGGGTTAATTAATTATTATTATTATTTTTCCAGCCCAAAATTCAAGTTGCTTCCAAATATGAACGTAGAGTCGATACGAGATCTTATGACGACAAGAAGAAGCTTTTCGAGGGTGTAAGTAGTAGAAATAAATGCAATATTCATTTAGGTTCGCTACCGTTTAGGTATCAAAAATTATTATTATTATTATTATTTATGTATTATTCATTTACGCCACTATTAGTATTGTTAGCAATACGGTTAGTTTTCCCGTTAGTTTGATTGTATTGTTGAAAGAATTATTATTGTACCTGATTTATGATTAACATGAGATTTGTATTTAAATGATCGATTAGGGTTGGGAATCAGTTTCACAAGAAACCAATGAAAAATTATGGAAAACAAAATCTGAATTATTTGCTAAACGTGCTGCCAGTAAGTCTTATAAAATGAATAAACTTCCATTAGAAATCCTACAGGCACATATTCTGTTTTATTTTTTCTTTTTTTGAACCTTTTTTATATTACCCTCGGAAAATTTGCATGATTGGTAGAAAAATTGTGAGGGGAAAATTTTTTTTTTTTGGAAAATATTTGACCAAAAACGCTAACTTATTTTAGACAATGGTTAGTCTGAATTAGTATGAATTGTATTGTTTGAGAAATGTTGGAAACCATAAAAACAATACAAAGAAAAAAACCTGAAAGAACCTCCAGTTTAGCGGTGGGTGGTGGTACCTGAAATTTTATAAAAAAATTTTCCTACTTTTTCATTATTGATTAAATACCAGGGTTATGATAATGATAATACGAGACATTTGTACAGAAAAAAATTTTCTTTTTCGGTTTCCACTTTTTTGGTTTTTTGAGTTGGTTTAATTTTTTTTTTCTTTTCGTGTGCCTTCATTCTCTGTAGGGATTAGAAGATATAACGAAAGAAGCCATGGAAAAACAATGGCAAGAAAAAGGTGATCAATTTGGTTCACGTCAAAAATGTAAGCAAAAAAAAAACAAAAACAAATTTTTTTTTTTTTTTTTCATTTAAAAATTCTTGTCAGAAATTTTTGTTTTTAACGGTCAAAATCTTTAAAAAAGAAAAAAGAAAATGGTGGTTAATTTTATTTTTTAAATTTTCCAATCACAGCTAAATTACCTAAATGGTTCGGTGAAAGGCCGGGTAAAAAGAAGGGAGATCCGGAAAGTCCAGAAGAAGAAGAAGTAAAAGCTGCCGGTGCCGAAGATGATGACGAACCGGAACCAACGTTCGAACCGGAACCGGAAGAAGAGGAAGAAGTTGAGGAAGTCGAAGAAGTCGAAGAGGAAGAAGAGGAAGAAGAGGAAGAGGAGGAAGAAGAAGAAGAATAAAACTGTTAACAATTGTGGTAAGTAAATGATAATTACGATCACACATTCATCCTCTCCAGCATTCTCACAGATTTTATTATTATTATTATTATTTTTCTTTTTTCAAGGTCATAAAAGCACGATTTTCACGGTCGGAAAAATTTCACGGAAAATTTTTTTTTTTTTCAAGACTAAATTCATACATGGATTACACGTGCAACAAATAAGCTTTTTTTTTTTTTTTTAAAAAAAAAGCAAGTTCAACAGAATTCTATCTTATTCTGCCCTACTACTACTATTATTTCATTATTATTATTATTATTATTATTATTATTTTTTTTTTTTTTAAAATTTATTTATTTTGTTCGATTAATTAATTAAATTTAAAATCCTAAATTTTACATTAAAAAAAAAAAAAACAAAAAAAAAAAAAATATTTAATATATATATTTTATTTATTGAAATGAAAATTTTTTTTTTTTTCTTTCTTCAGTTATTTATAATAAAATTATGTTCCATAACATAAACGTACGTCACGTGATATTATTATTATTATTATTATTATTAAAAAAAGAGCAACAAAAACAAAACAAAACAACCAAACAAACAAAATCTCAAATATTTTTTTCAAAAAACAAAAACCCCCAAAAAATATGTACAAAATTTTTTTTTTTATGGAATGTAATAATAATAATAATAATAATAATAAAATTTGTTTATTATTATTAAATAAAAAAATTTCATTATAAACATTTTTTATTATATTTATATATTTTTTCTATATATATATATATAGAAAAAATTATTCCTACGTCATCATCAATAAAAATTTTTTTTACACGTTTTTATTTATTTATTTATTTAAATTATATAAAAGATGGATTGGGGAAAAAAACCTTATTAATAATATCGTTAATAAACACCGTGTGATAAATTATTTACTATTATTATTATTGCTTTAAATTTTTTTGATTTTTTTTGGGAGATTATTAATATAAATAAATAAATAAATTTTATGTATATATATATATATATATATATATATATATATATATATATATATATATATAAATCCGAGAGGCACTTGATACTATATTAATTGAATTAATTTTAATTTATTTTTTTCCGGCTGAAATTTTATTATTTTATTTATTTAAAATAAATAAACCAAAAAAATCTCCCAAATTTTAATAATAATAATAATAATAAAAAAATGAGCAAAAAATTGTGAGATATTTAATAAATTTTCCTTTACGTTAATTATTTATTTATTTGAGATGCGAAAAAAAAATTTAGCAATAATAACTCATATCTAAAAATAAAAATTCTACTATTCCCTATTTATTTATTTATTGACTAAATAATAATTATTATTATTATTAATATTTATAAATTTTTCTAAAATATTATTTTAATTACACTAAAACACACACACACACGCACAAAATGGCATTGTACTAATTTATTTATTTATTTTAAAAAATTATTATTATTATTATTATTATTAATAAACCAATTAGTAATTGATATTTTTTAATTACAAATTTATTATTATTATTATTATTTGAACAATTATTATTATTAATGGTGAAAAAAATTATTATGAAATAAATAAGTGTGTGTTTATTTTAAAAAATTTTTATAAAACGGGCAAATTTCATTATTATTATTATTATTCACGATAATGATGATGATGATGATTATTATTATTATTATTATTTACAAAATTGCGTGTGTGAAAAATGCCTCGAGAAAATATATATATATATATATATATTATTATTATTATTTTATTTTCTTTACATCATTTTCAATATATTAATTTTTATTAATTAATAAATTATTTATAAATTTATTTATTTATTTATTTTATTATTTAATAAGTTTTGTTGTTTATCAATCTTCATCAATTATTTGTTTTTTTTTTTTTTACATAAAATTTACATAAAATATTTATTTATTTAAAATTTTCCATATGATGAATATAAGAGAGTAGAAAAGAATATACATAATTTTTTATTAAATAATAATAATAATAATTATTTTCATTATAGATATTTAATATCAATTACAATATATTTATATATTTGACACATTAATTTACGTATCCTGTAAATATTATTATTATTATTATCGAGTCGATGTGTGAACAATAATAATAATAATAAAAAAAAAAAATTTGCAAAATATTTAAATAAATTAAATTCATTTCCGGTTGTTATTATATATAATAACGTAATTAAAACCTTCGTTTATTATTATTATTAATAAATAAAATAATGAATTAAAAATTTTTATTTATTTTTATGATTTTTTTTGTGACATGATTGAAAATTGAAGAAAAACTCAGGAACATAAGCATACCTTAAATCACTCCTCCTCCTCCTCCTCCTCCTCCTCTTATTCATCTAATAAAACCTACTTTTTTTTAAGCAAATATTTAAGGGTGTTATTTGTAAAAAAAGGGGGTACGAAGAAAATGAAATGAGCTTTTTTTTTTTAAAAGCATAAAATCTAATTAATTTAATTAAAATAAAATAAAATATGGCACTGAAAGCTTTTTTGATTTCACACTCAAACCAATAATAAATGTTAATAACATACACATGATATAGATGTATATATATATGAATGAATGAATGAATGAATGAATGAATGATGCGTCAATGGTGCACAATTAAATACAAAAAGGACGCTATTTATTGTTATTAAGAATTATTATTATTATTATTATTATTACCCAACTTTAATTTAAAAGTTGTTCTCTTAAAGAATTATATTAATTAAAAAAAAAAAAAAATTTAAACACACGCACGAGCAATCAATTACATCACATACACAATAGTAGTATTATTATTATTATCTAAATAAAACTTTTTGGTTTGGCCACATTTACCCCAAAAATAAAATATGTATATATATATATCATACATATATATATATATATATAATTTAAATTGAAACTAAAAGTTGTATTAATTTTATTAATACTAGTAGTAGTAGTAGTGTGATAAAAAAAAAAAGGATTTCTATCAATTCGTGGGGTAACCAACTGATTTTGTGGAAGCGCACTTGGCACAAAGATTCTCGTACGGTTCTCCATGAAGGAAAGCAATGATAATCACTGTCATATTATCACAACCCAAACCACCCATTTGTATATCTGGTGCAAGACATCTACTCATTAAATCTTCGCATATATCTTCCGGACACATCCCTCCACCGATTCTATTTCTCACAAAATCGACAACTTCCTACAAAACACAAATTTTTAAATATTTAAATTAAATAATACATATAAAACTAATAAGAGATTAACGACAATAATAACATACTTCATTTGTCATAACATCCCAAATTCCATCACAGGCCATTACTATAAATTCCCATTCCGGTGTTATGGTTCTTGTTTGAACATCGGGATAAGCTAAAAAAATTTTAGCTCGATTAATTATTGATACAACTCCTAATTTTTACAAGGGAAAAAAAAAATTATCTCTAACCTGTAATAACTTGTTCCTCTGGTATTTTTTCTTCATTTCTTTTTAACAAAAAATCACCTAAAGCTCTGGAAAGTGCTAAATTACCATTAACTCTATTAAATTCCACCCAACCTCCAGCAGCTGTTATTCTTTTTAATTCAGTTTCATTACTTGGTTTATGATCGATTGACAATACATCTACTTTACCATTTACACAAGCTATAGCTCTTGAATCACCAACGTTAGCCTTTAAAAAAATTTTTTTGTATTTATTCAGTAAAATAAATAAAAACTTAAAGCGTTTCGTTAAAATGAATTCGTAGGAAAATTATAATAACTAACCACATAAAGTTGTTTGGCTTTTAATAAACATACTATAGCTGTTGAGCCGGAAAATTCATCTTTTAAACTTTTATCATTTAACATTGCAGAATCTATATCTAAAAATGCTTGTTTCAAAGCTTTTTCATACTTTCCTTCCATATATTTAGGTTGTTTAACGAGAAATTTGTGCAAATGCTTTCCAGCATACTGAGCAATTTTAGCCCCTAAGAGTAAAAACAATTATTTCGATAAGAAATTTTAAATTTAAATTTATATTTAATTTATTTAAAATAGTTAAATGTAAAATTTATTCAGGATATAAATAGAATCTTAATAGTGTTTAGAATAAATAAATTGGTGAAATTTGCAATGAGTTTATATTATTGCGAATTACATTCAATATAGAGCGTTATTCGTACTGTAATTTTAAGTATCGAAACAATAACTTAAATCTTGCTTTAATTAAGTTAATTCTAGAGGAAACTTAAATAAAAATAAGTAAGAGATATGAAATTATAATAAAAAATGATTAGAAGAATTACATATTCAGTTATTTAATAACTTGTGGAAATTTGTACAGAATGCTTTCATTTATTATTCCTTACTTAAAATATTAATTTTAGGTTTTACTAACCTCCATGCCCATCGTAAACACCGAAAAAAGAAGCTTGAGGATCTTCTGGAAGAGACAAAATATGAGTGTGAGCATCTTCCATGCTTATTCTCCATCCTTGCATACAACTCGAGCCAACAGTCAAGTCTGAATTTTGACAATAAGCCGACTCCTTTGTCGTCACTGGTTCTGATAAAATTTGTCCCATTTTTACGCTATCTTAATTTTCTTTTTTCTTTTTTTTTTTTTTTTTTTAAATTATATCTATACAAGAATAAAGTAATTAAGGGCACTCCTAATATTACGATTAAATATTATTTAATGTTAAACACTTTATTAAATTAATTTAGTTGACTATATTCTAAATCGCTTTAATGCACCAATGTTACCCAAAATAGCATTCTTTGATAATTTTTTTTAAGTATTTTAAACTACAAACTGATTCTTAAAATTTTCTCAAGATGCCATGTTGTTTTTAACTGACCAAACAAATGATCTAAGTGGCGTTTTTAAAACACAAGAATATTGATCGCTGCCATAATGAAAAAGTAAAATTTTAAATAAAAAAAATTTTTTTAAAAATGAAAATAATTTTAAGCATGAATAAATTTAAAATAAATACCCATTTATTATTTGTAAAAACTTAGAATTGACTTTTCCTTCCAAACTGTTTTCCTATCATTACCGTTTCCGCTGTCTGTATAATTTTTTTTTTATCGCAACACTGTTAATCAAATGTTGTTATTAAAAATGCAGGTTGTTAAATAAACAATGATTTCTGTCGTTAATTATAAAAGTAGAGTGATAAAATGGATTATGGCATTTGGTGTTTTAGGACTTGCCATGTATCCTATTGCAATAGGTCCTATGTATAACTGTGATAAATATAGTAAGTAATTTTTCAATAAACTCTAGTATTTTATTAGTAAGAAGAAAAGTGTGTAGGAGTAAAATATTTTATAAATACTTACATATTTTTATTGTTGCTTAGAGGAGATTCAGAAGGAAGCTAGAAAAAACATTAAACAAGAAGATATCCAACCTGGAAGTAAGTAAAATATAATATTATAAAATTGTGTTTAAAAATAAAAAAATTTCAATTTAATTTTTTTATATTATTATTTAATTTCAGATATGAATGTTTGGTCTGATCCATTTAAAAGAAAATAACTTTCAATATAAATAGATGATTTTAATTAAAATCCTATCTTCTAAAATGTAGTTAAGTATAAATATAGCCACTGAATGTGATATGTATACAAATATTTATGATTTAATATAATATATGTAGTACAGATATTGTTTTTTTTTATTCAATTCATAAGTATCACTTTACTTAAAATTTAGTGTTAGAATTTTTTTACTCGTTAATAATTTTATTTCGGAGTTTAAGCTATAAATTAAAAATGTAAGTACTCGTCTGGAAATCTTCGAAAAATTTTAATGTTCAAAATACTGTGTAATTTTTATTTTAATAACTATTAGGCCCTTTAGCTATATTTAATAAAGAAACATTATTTTACTATAATAAGTATTTTATAAAGTTCTTATTTTTTTTTATTTTAAAGTCTTTGAATGGTGACAAGCAAGTTTATTTAGGTGCTACTGTTTAGATTATTATCTAAAAACGAGTAAAGTATTTCCACTAAAATACATTTTCGATGAAGGATATTTATGTGATTACACATATTTCCTGAATACTTTTTGCAAACAAATATTTTTTCCTCTTGCTTTATAAAAAAACAGTTATTGTTAAGTGGGTTTTAAAAGGTTGGAATATAAAAATCAATAATAACACTTTATTAGAATATAAAAAAATATTAATAAAAAATTAACAAATATTTAATTGTCTTACAAACTATACTTGTCTTTAAAAAATTTTTTAAAAATCATCATCATCACAGACATTTAAAAATACATCAAATGATTCCCTATTACAATTTCCATCAGCATTAAATACATATTTATGAAAAGTTCCATCTATGCAAATTGCTGAAAAAATTTAATTAAAATGCTAGTATGGTACTTATTGAAATGGAAAACATTTTTGCTTCGTAAAACTTACCGATAACTGAATTTTTGGAAGCGAAAGCACAAATGCATGCGCATTCAGGAGGCACTGTAAAATTAGCTAAAGCCCACTGGGATTCTATATAGTTTCCTAAAAACCCTATTTTAGAAAATGTCGACCTTTTATTTAAGTTGGTATTTTTTAATGCAAATATGTGTATGGTACCCTTATCACTTGAACAACACAGAAATTCAGAATCTCTACTAAAATTTATACTGAAACAATTTTTATAATTTAAGATGTTTTACTATAGATAAAATAAAAACAAAGGATTATAATTTTACTTACCAATATAATGTCGCAGGATCTGATCCTCTTCTTAATTCCACTAATAAAGCTTTTTTAACTGTATCCCATACCCTAATTAAAGTCCCTTTAGTTGAAGCTGTGGCAACCATAGTACCCTGTTGACTTACTGCTAAACAAGCCAATTCACCTTGATGAGCATTTATAGTAACAGGCGCACTCGAAGTTCCAATTTCTGTGCTACCTAAATCCTAATGAAAGTTATAAACAAAAACATTTTTTGTTGAAAAATTAATATAGCTTTGATAATACTAATAAAACACAGTAAAATTTTTATGTGGTGTACATACTACTAATTGAATACTTCCAATTTTATGCCCTGGAAAAACCAAAAGTTGTTTTTCCGCAGATGTCATTGGTGTGATTTCACATAGTCCATGAGGGTTTTCACGAGTTTCAATTGTTAATAATCTTTGAGCAGGTGAAGGAAATGAAAATACATGTATTTGATTAATCGTAGCTATTATAATTCTGAAATTAAAAATAATATATAAATTTAATATTTTTTTCTTTAATTAAAAAAAATTTTTTCAACTTACCTGTCTCTTTGCATCCTTACAGCCTTAACTGGACTAACAAAAGTAAAATCGAGAACTAAAGCTTTTGAAATGTCATCAAAAATTAAAACTGTATTATTAGCAAATCTTGGTCTGCCGCCACCTGAAATGATGGCTAATAAATTTGTTCGGTGCAGCATTTCACATTGAGCTACACTACCCATTAAATCAACATCATAATGTGCTTTTTCAACTAAAGGTTCCACATTATAAATTCTAAGGCCACTTTCCATGCAGCAGCTAAAACAACTGTGATCTTGATTAAATCTCAAATTAATAATTTTTTTTTCATTATGTGACATTTTAATTTTTTAACATTAGTTTACATAAAAGAATTGAATTAATTTATACAATCATAACTTTTCTTTGTTTGATAAAACAAAATTATTCACTAAATTTATCAATAAACTTATTTAAGAACTATAATTAACATTGAGCTTTATGCAGAAACAGTCGAAAAGTATAAAAAATTACAATAATTTAATAAAAATTTTTAAAATTTTTACTTAATCTAAAAAAATCACTTTATTGTTATAAAAAAATATAAACAAGTTCATCAGCTGATCTAATATAAATACAAAAAGTTTAACATTTGCATTTAAGTACTCTATGAATGATAAAAAAATTTCTCTATGCTTACTAAAAAATTTTCAAGTGCTCATGTTAAATAATAAATAAATTTCATAAAAATACCGCCGCTAAGTGTATTAAATCAAATAATTATAATCTAATCAATTATTTTTTTCTATAACATTAAATAAAGAAAAAGTGAATTAAAATAATTTTTTTAAAATTAAATATACTAACATTGTGTTCTAGGATAAATTAGGTAAATTGAAAACATTTTATTATTAAAAAAATAAAAAATTAAATAAAAAAATAAAAAAAGCTCATTAAATATGTATTGCTATGTAATGCATTCATAACTATTCATATTTTATTTTTTTATTCTTAGTTAGTTTTAAAATAAAAACTATAGAATTAATTTTTAAATCAACTAATGTATTGAATTTTCTTTTTGTTTAGATTTAAAATATTTTTTTTTTCACTCGACAAGTATTTAAAAATAAAAGTTTCAAGTGTGTTATTTTATTAAATAATTATTTAAATTATATTTATTATTATACTGAAAATATCTTGGCATTTTATTTTTAGGTATAAAAACAAAATATTGAAACAACATTTTTAATGTTTACAATCTATTTTTAAAATATCCAAGTAATAAAAATATTAAAATATATATTAAGCCCTAAAACATAATATAGTTAACATCATTTCTAAATGCTTTAAAAAATGAATTAACTTCCTGATATTTCTTTCTTTTTTTTTTCTTTTGAATATTACGAATTTTAGATTTATTTTTATATTTCATTTTTTTCTTTTTCATTTCCTTATTCTTTATTTTATTTTCAATATTAGAAATAATATTTTTATTTTTATATTTGTGTCTCGATTGTTTTTGAATTTTAATATGACCTGAAAAAAAAAAAAAAAAAAAAATTATTAAATTATTTTTTTATTGTCAAAATAAATTTTTCTTCCGAATAAAATTATATTATTTTATCACCATTTTGTAAATTGTTTTTTTCTAATGCATTATCCCTTTTATATGATACAATAAATGGTACACTATCTGTAAAGCTTTTCAATTCTTTCGGAAAGTGACAGTTACTGAAGAAATGTCCTTTTTTACCACAATTACAACACCAAATGTCTTTTTCCTTTTTATTTACATTTAAATTTGGAATAATTATATTTTTAGTTTTGGTAGTTAAGTGAAATAATCTCCAGTGATCGGGGCAATTTATGTAATTGTGTCCTTTTAATGAACATCTCGAACAAACTTGATTTGTTTGAAATTTACATTTGTAACAGCAAAGTTTGAATTCTCCAGTTTCATTTCCACACTGCAAATATATTTATATATTTCAAAATTAATAATGTAAAATTTTGAATCTAAATAAATTTAGAATTAATATGAAGTTAATTTTAAATATGCTTATAAATGTACCAGACATGTTATAATAATTTAAAAAAAGATTTTAATTATCGACAAGTTGTTAATAATTCTACAATACTAAAAAAAATAAATGTTTAGGGTAGAAATTATTGTGTTATGTAAAGCAAATGGTTGATAAGACATGAAAAACTATAATTTAATTAAAATTGGCTCACATTGAGACATATTGCATTAGGGCACTGGTGATCAATGTGGCCTGGTGTTCCACACATATGACATTTTGGAACATATAACGGTTCAGGACATTTATAAGCAACATGACCAGGCTGTCTACAATTGTCACAGTATGCATAATATCTTTTACTTCTGTGTTGCCTCAACAGATCCTTTTGAGATATTTTCCATAAAGCTGGAGATTTGTCCATTTTTCTTTGAATATTTTCAACTGAAAAAGTTTCCTCATTACCCCAATCATCATTGTAAAATTTAATCATGTCTGACGTCCAGTGATTGGGATTGCAATACTGTGTGTCATAGTTATTTGGTAACTCTTTTTGTATTTCCTTAATTATTTGTATATCTTGTATTTGATTAGTCATCATCTTGGGCCTGGAAAAATGAATTGTTAATTATTTAACACAAAACATTTATCAAATTGTAAATAAATTTTAAGTGATTGAGCTCATATCAAAATTTGGCAATTTATTTATGCATAAAAAAAGTATTCACATAAAAATCTGTGTGATATCTTACAATAAATCGTTTACAAAATATAAAATTTTATAATATATTATATAATTGTAAAATATATTATTTGTTAATGAGCAAAAAATAATTATTCTAACCTCTCAGAAATATTTGATAAATGCAAGTATATATCATCATCATTAATTTCAATTATTGGAGGGGTTGCTCTTTTAGGAACTTCAACTTCAACCACAGAATTTTCACTGTCTTCGCTATCAATAAAAATAAAATTGTTCATATTGTTTATAATAAGAAAAACATTATTTTAATTTCTTTTGTAAGCAATAAAGGATTTAATATTAAACGTGGCAGGAACATGCATCATGGCTGAATTTTTAACAAAGATAATTGTTACGCTATTAGACCAAATTATAATTGTAGTTACCATTAGCTAATTTTTTTTTTTTTTTGGAAAATAACTTTCAACCAATAATTTATTTATTTAAATCGATTTTTCGAGTTAGCCATTTACAAGCAAAGAAATTTGGTTTTACTCGATTAAAATCTCTTTTTTTCAAATTAAAAAATATTGAATTTATTAAAGGAAACGGAATTTTAAAAAAAATTATTTCACAGTCATTGATTGTATATTTTCTCTCAGTAAAAAAATAAATATTAAATATTTTTATTTTTTATTTTTAATTAATTAAAAATTCCCTATGAATCACTTATCCATAAAAATGTAAGAAAAACTGTA